GAAAGGTCACTGTACAACACAGACAAATACCAGTACGCAATTAAATACGACTCAAAAGTATAATATTGAAAAGTGAAGCTCCACTAAAAGTATAATGATTGCTTTATCTCCGTAATTGGTTCCGAGTAGGTGATGGAAATTCCACATTCCTGTGACGTGAATCAGTCCGAAGAGGCCACTCACTGCTGGCTCCCCCGTGGAGTTGTGCCGTGTCACCACGCGGTGCTGCTCCTTGTGCCGGGAAAGATGACGGGAACGGAGAGAAATTCCGGCTGGGACTTCAACTCGGAATCACGAAGGGCACGCTGGCGTCATCCCGGCACCTCAGCCACGCCGCTGTCAGCAGGCGAGTCAACGGTGCCCCGAGTGGCTCTGATCGAGCAATGCCCCCTGCCCGCCGCCCCATCCAGGTCATTAAGGCTTCTTCCATACGGATCGAAATATTAACAATGTCCTGACATCAAGAAATGTGTACATACCTCTCGTGCCTGCCTACGTGCCTGCCTGCGTATTCTTCAACGTTGTATGTTCACCCGGCCTTCAGCGGACGTGTGTAGACGTTCGGTGTGTCCGTGCGTATCGTCCTGAAAGTGCGCGCGGAGTTGTGATTCTTGACGCGGAGGACGAGTGCGTGTTTGTGCGTACAGCGACGATACGCCGCCTCATTTGCGTGGGATTGCTTGAGAGTGCATAGAACCATCGGTGTGTGTGCTTGTGAGGTTTGCCCTAATGCACGTGCGTTAATTAGCACGCGTGGCCACGTGTATGTGTGCGGCTGAGTGGCCATGGAAGTATGTGCATCTGAGTAAGCTTGTACACACGTGTGTGTGTTTGCACGTGCGTATATAATCAAGCGGAGAGCGGTGGCGCAGCGGTTAGTGCGCCGCGCTACGAACCCGGCGACCTGAATTTGATTCCTGCTCACGGCCTCAAATGAGTAGCTGGTGATGCGGCGTGTGACATGTTGCCACGAGGGTGCGAATCTCTCACGTGAACACGCTAATCTCTCACATTAGCATCACTAACCCCGCCCACTTCGTTGATGACCCTAGGAGCTCGCCCTATTAAACAGTCTCCATTCAGCAGCTTTTCCCCCTCTTTCCTCCTGATGACGATCGCTTGTGTTGCGATCGAAACGTCGTAGTTTTTTTGTTTATTTCATATTTATTATTTTTCTTAATTTGTACCTATCTATCGTGACGAAAGATACAGTAAATCTGGCTGTGACGGTCCCACCTGATGACGGAGACTTGTGTTGCCTCCGGAACGTCGTGATTTATAATTGTATTTCTATTATTTTTTAATACTTATTTTTACCTACGTGACTTTACCGAAAAAACCTAAGAGTATAATAAGGGTAACGTTTCTAATTTTCGTGACCAGACGGAAGAGTTATTTTGTTACTGGAGAAGCCTTGTTGAGTTCAAATGGAAGAGGGATGGTGAAATGAGAAATGATGTTGAGAAGCAGTGAGGGTACAATTCTTTAGTTTCCGTATCCACGGAAACATGCCCAGTGAGATTTCTCTTCTAGTGCCTCTTGTAAGTCTGCATGCACAAATGCATTTTAGACAGGAATACATGATTGTGTGTGTGTGTGTGATTGTGTGTGTGTATGAGCACATTTTAGGAGCGGCAGTGTTGTGGTTAGTGCACTGCCAGAGGAAACCTGTGGCCTGATTTCAAATCCCGCGTAGAACCAATAACAGTGGCGAATATGTGAACCGGTCCTGTGCCTACTCTAGGTCGACTCGGCCATAAACGAGTACCTAGTGCAATGTGTAAACATCAGAACTCAAAAGACAAAGGCAACGGGGTGTGGTGCTGGCCACCCACCCCCTCGTGTGCCGTGCCGGCTTTCACAGGTGCGGGGAATCTTGGCTTTGGATATGAGCGCATGAAGGCATGTAAGCGTCAACGTGTGCTTTCAGTGTGTACAATGCATATTGAAAATCAGCAATCGTGGATGCATACGAGTCTGCGATGCTTTGAAATAATGTGTATGTCTCATTAATGCTTAGATCTGGGATTATCCATGCAGGACTGTATGCAGAGTCCACAGAAACATAAAGATTCTGGACAGAGTCCAAGCAGACGGCTCCTCTAGCTGATGAGGCTGCATTGGTTGAATCACGTCGCCTGCATGCTCGGATACCACGTGTCCGGGCAGCCTTCGATAGAGGGCATCCGTAGACGGTAAAGCATCGGCTCGAGAGTAAATTGACTGATGAGCATCAGCTGGACTTTGCCAGCTGATGCCAGCAGTGTCACGTTTGGCCGCGCTGGAGGAGGAGGTGCATCAGTAATGGCACTGGGCACCTGGCAGCAGTGGCTGCTCTCCAGAACAAAACAAATCAGTCCAGAGAGCTGCGCTCATCACAATTAATGGAGCGGCAGGAGGTGACGACGGCACGCTAGCACAATGGGAAACTCCATTTGCGCATCTGCAGGTCACACCCATCTATTAGCCCATCAGCCACAACACCTGGGTCCAATCAGTGGTTTCTTGTTAGGTAATCTTCCGCGGTGGCGAGATGTTAACTATCTCACCCGGTATACAGGGGGTTGTGGGTCTGATCCCGACCCTGACGCCTGCTGTATATTTGGAGTTTGCACGTTCTCCCCGTGGTCACGTGGATGTTTCCCTGGGTCCTCCGTCCTGCAATGTATCTCCCACGTGATCAACCGCTTCGTTGAGCTATCGTTTGTCGTCAGGTCGCTTCTGAAAAAGAGCGACGTGGCTCTTACCTGGTCTAATAAAATAAAAATGTAGTTTATAGTTTAGTTTATAGTTGTGTAATCCAAACCACTCCCCATGGCCTCAACGTGCACCTCGCCTGCACTCACCCACCACCGCCACCAACGAATGGCAAATTGAAATCCGGCTGTTGCCGTCCGCGTGTGCACTTGCGACCACTCGCGACGTTTCCATCACTCGGCGTGCAATGGCATGACGCTCGGTAGGGACGGCCTGACCGTGAGCGTGAGACTGAACACTCAATGGGCCAGGGCGTTGGGTCTCTCTCACCCCAGCGGCAGTTGAAGCGTTACCCTGGGTCTGTTAACCCGTAACATCTGTGTCTGCCCCGTGCCTTCCTGTCATTGATATTTCACCGCTCAACGTGCGACTATCCTGGCAGAAAGAAACGTCACTTAGTGGCGAATGGCAGCAGTCACACGTGCGTGTGTACGCGTGTGTGCGTGTGTACGCGTGTGTGCGTGTGTGCCAGTGTACGCGTGTGTACGCGTGTGTACGTGTGTACGCGTGTGTGCGTGTGTGCGTGTGTACGCGTGTGTGTGCGTGTGTGCGTGTGTACGCGTGTGTGCGTGTGTGCGTGTGTACGCGTGTGTGCGTGTGTACGCGTGTGTACGCGTGTGTGTGTGCGTGTGTGCGTGTGTACGCGTGTGTGCGTGTGTGCGTGTGTACGCGTGTGTGCGTGTGTGCGTGTGTACGCGTGTGTGCGTGTGTACGCGTGTGTGCGTGTGTGCGCGTGTGCGCATGTGACAGCTGCCTGGGTATTTTATGTCACCAATCGCTCCCTCCCCTAAACTCCCCATGAGTGATGGGGCAGTTGTGGAGATAGTGAAGTTTCCATACTTGGGCAGTGTGCTAATGACCAGCTCTCGTTTGACAGCTGAGGTTTCACTCAAATCTAGAACACTGGAGCGGCATTATCTTTTCATCGGCCGCATATCGCCGTGTAGAAGCTGCCTGCCCTGTCACCCCATGCACATCCCCTGGTCTTCTCGGCCATAGTTACGCCCTCCCTTCTCGATGCTTGCAAAGGATGCAGCCATCCAAAGGAACATCTGCACCAGTTTGGAACATTCAAGCTAGCCTGCCTACTAATCATCCTGGGTTTAACCAGACAGGGTTGTGTGAGGAGTACACATGTTCTTGAAAGATCTGGACACAGTCCCATCAGTGAGATCCTCCAGCAAGCGAGGCTACGTTGGCTGGGTCATGTAGCCCGCATGCCCAGCCACCGCATCATTCCCAAGCAGCTTTTGTTCAGCCAGATAGAAGCCAAATAGAAGCCAGGTCGGACTAAACGGACGTGGCACGAGCTAGAGAAGAGATGGACTGATGTGGAGCTGATTTGACTTGCCAAAGACTGGTACCAGCGGTGTAAAGATCGGCCTCTGTAGAGGAGGCTCGTAAAGGACGCTACTGGGCAGTTGGAGGCAGTCGCCCTCCAACAACAACGGAGGGTGGAGGAGCGACGCTCACAACAACGAGCGGAGCGCCGGGCATGTTAAAACACAGCAAGTTGGCTTGGTAGGGGGCACAGGTGGTGCATCTGCCGGTCATCTTAGTCAGACAACCCAAGGCACCCGGGTCTGTCCGGAGACCTCCTGCCAGCAGCGAGCCTTCGACACTTCACGTGATAGCCTCAACGTTCACCTGGCCTGGCACAGGCGCGGTGGTGACGTCACCGTCAATTTTGTGGCGAATGTCGAAGATTGGTATTGGTGTGCGTGTGTGTGCGTGTGTGTGTGGCAGAGGTGGGACAAAGTCATTGTTATGCAAGTCCAAGTCGAGTCTGAAGTCATCAAATTCATGACTCGAGTCTGACTCGAGTCCAAGTCACATGACTCGAGTCCACACCTCAGAGGTGGGACAAAGTCATTGTTATGCAAGTCCAAGTCGAGTCTCAAGTCATCAAATTCATGACTCGAGTCTGACTCGAGTCCAAGTCACATGACTCGAGCCCACACCTCTGGTGTGTGGTAGTGTAGCGGTTAGCGCGCTGCGCTACGAACCGGGCGACCCAAGCTCACGGCCAACACCATTAGTGACGATAATCTGAACCGGTCCTGGGCCTCCCCTAGGTCGACTCAGTATAAAATCAGTACCTGGTGCGGAGTGTATTAAGCATCGCAACTAGGGAGACAGGCCTTCACAGGTGCTACTCGCTAACAGCACTTGCCCAAACAGTCTATTAAGGCTACACGGGGCATCTTTGCCTTTGTGTGTGCGCGCGCGAGAGAGCCCCTCACCTGGCTCTGCGTGAAGCGGGGGGCGTTGTCGTTCTCGTCGGTGACGCGCACGTGCACGCGCGTGGCCGCCTCGTGGGGGGGCGTCCCCCCGTCGCGCGCGTGCAGCCACAGGGAGTAGCGGTCGCGCCGCTCGCGGTCCGGGGGGGTGCGCACCACCAGGTACGGGGGGCCACCTTCACGCGTGGGGAGACACGCACGCACGCACACACGCACGTTCTAGCGAGCCGTCGAACAAAGACGGTGACTGCAGAGCGCGCTTTCAGATGCGCTTCTGCGGCCGTCTGGAACGCTCTTTCGATATTAAGAAGCCACTGGTAGCTGTGCACTTTATAATATAAATAAAAAACTCGTTTCTTTAGAACTGCTTTTTGTGTTTAGTTTGTTGTCCTTCCCCCCTCAACTCCGATTTGCACGGTTGGGGACGTACGGTGCTCTAAAAAAAGATCAACATACACACGCACGCATCAGCAACGGCTTGCAGATGTGCGAGATGTTAACTACCTCGCCTGGTATACAGGAGGTCGTGGGTTCGATCATGCCTCTGACACATGTATATTTGGAGTTTGCGTGTCGTTCCCGTGGTCGCGTGGATTTTTCTCCAGGTCCTCCGGTTTTTCCCTCCACATTTAGAAACATACATACAGCATTTGGCTACTGCTATACATTTCCACTTGATGAGCCACTTTGTTGAGCTATCATTGTGGCCAGAGCTTTATAGCTCAGTGGGCCTTGCCTAGTAAAATAGCAATAGTTTAACTTTTAGTTTTAAGCAGACTCAATTATACGGTTTCGTGGAGGGGAATGGCCTGCCCAATGCTTTGAGTGGTAAACATCGACGCTGCAATCCCAAGTAGTAGGGGGCTGCCTCTGTGGCTCTAGAACAGCGGTCGGGATCCTATGGCTCGCGAGCCATATATGGCTCTTCTGGTGACGGCATATGGCTCCCAGACAATTTTGAGTTGAAAAAAAAATACAAAAATCAGTTTGGAACTGATTTTAAAATACTTGTGATATTGCTTAATAATACTGTGTCATTTTAAAGTAAACAGAAATTAGTTTTGAAGATAAATTTCACGGGTCAAGGGGCCTCAACGCCTGCATGAAGCTCAACCTCACCACGTACGAACCAGACTACAAGGCCATCAGCAAAACCATGCAGCACCAGAAGTCGCATTAAAAGTGATACATATTTAATTTATTATACGTTAAAAAGACTATATGGCTTTCAATGCAATATATTTAGAAATATTTGGCTTTTATGGCTCTCCCAGTCAAAAAGGTTCCCGACCCCTGCGTTAGAACTTTTCCTGCGCCCCAGTAGCGGGACAGCACCGTCGACATCTTGGGGTCAAGCTGTAAATGCCCACCCCGGGTAAACGACGTCCTTAGGCACACGGCATTTTATGGCCCAAACATTAATGACCACACTCAATATGAAGTCCGAATCCATGGCTTTAGGAGTGGTGGCACAGCGCTTATCAGAATTCACTCTGAACCCAGCGGCCTGCGAATAACCCCATGGCTGACATCGGTGACCAGGTGATATCAGAACGGGGCCACAGGCACTCCTTCAACAACCCATAACGACCAGCGTGGTGAAGTATGGTCAAGCAAACGACCCTTGACTGGCAGAGCATGGAGCGCCCTTCATCCAGCATTGGATTGGAAAAAAAAACCCACATATTCTTATTCATTTTACAAACTTAACAATGGCACTTCAAGTGTCCTAACCCAAAGTTCGAAATTTAAATGGTGGGTAGATATAAAGCACAGCAGCATTTGCTCGTATACTACTCATTGACGACACTGTGAAATCCTTGAATTAAATACAATTGTGAGGTTTACTTGCTGATAAATTGTGCTCAATGTTTCAGCTGACAAGCCTTGATGAAAGGTCACACAGGCGGTCGGCAGCGTGACAGCCATGCCCACGTGGTTCTCGCGAGGGATCGCTAGCGGGCCGCAGACCAAGGCCTCGGCTGCTGAGAAACACCACGAGAAAAAAACCTAAGAATATGAGAGGTGTTCAATTCCGGAACATTGTGAGAGCTGAAATATTTCATGCCGCGTTCCCTTTCTGAGAACGTTAATTTGATGTCGCGACATGGACAACATTTGATTGGGATGTGACAAAAAACACACACGCTTACACCTTGAAGAAAAGAGAGCACAAAACATCCCCACAAAACCACCTCCAGTAGACGTGGAGACCTCATATGGGGACGAGGGATCATGAGCGTGACAGCTACCACTCACTCCGCTTACCTCTGGATAAACTAATATTGCCACCGCGCGTACAATGCAATATAGTAATACATGTAACCTGGAATGCGCTGTCGTACAATATTCGCTCACTCTCGAAGAAAGAGAGAGAGAAGACGACTCAGAGGTGAGAAGAACCATAAACAAGCAGGAAGGCAGCTGCCACGAGATGAGCCGGCGCCAAAAATCGTCCAAGTTCTGCGGTCCTCTATGTAAGTGTGTTATGGGCCAATTAAAATGCGTGTTTGCATGTGGGAGGGAATTGGAGCAGCCGGAGAAAACGCAAACGTGCAAGGGGGAGTGTCACTCTTTCCGATACAGACAGAACAGTCACACATTGTTGCTGTCCTGCATTCTCCTGGCAGGCCAGGGTTACGGCACCTCCTCGACACAACATTTGCGTGCGGTCCACCCACTAGTGCTGGATTACGGGCAGCCTACGTGCAGAGCCATCAGCGCCCGGCTCAAGACTAATATGAGGCTCTACGAGTGAGGCAGCTGACACTCTCACACCCCCCCCCCCCCCATGTCTGGAGACACCAATATTGCCACCGCACGTACAATGCACACGAAGGCACGCACACACAAGTTCAAAAAACATCGACTGTGAGCAGTTGGCAGAGAATGCTCTCCTCACGCCAGGAACGTCACTTCACAAGCCGCAGGAAATGTCGCTCTCCGGAGCGAATGTCTAATTTCACTCCACGCATCAGGTGAATATTCTGCAGCAAAAAGTGGGTCCGTATACGCAGCACCCCTCTGCCGCCACGGCTTAATGCGTTCTCTCAAATAGCAATGGATTTGCTTCTCGTGGAGGAGTGCCTGTGTTAGTTATGGACGTGCAATTTCAAACCACGAACCGGGCACGAATATTCATCCCAGACATCGCTAGAGGAATGCGGCCGATTTGTGTACACACAATTAGCATTTCCGCCTATAAATCCAGCATTGGAAATCAAAGAGTGCTCCATGCTGCAATGTATTTACAGTTCCACATGAACCATGTGAACTAATTGAAAGAAAAAGGAGGATTGTGTTGGACTGGGACGTTATGGATTTTGGAAACAATGGATATAATTAGAGAATTCTGGAAAAATCTACTTTGAAAAATAAAATAAGGAATGATGGTTTGTAGCAACATTGCAGGCCCGAATTCAAAATAATAATAAATATATGCTAATGAATTGTTTTTACTGTATCTGCATGAGGGTATTCTTATAGAAAATGTTGAAATAAGTTTCAAGTTCTTGGTTCTTTCGGTAAAGTCACGTAGAATGGAAATAATAAAATAATAAAAATGAAACATAATACTATAATATAATAATATAATATTTTTGTTATTTTTTTATTTCCATTCTACGTGACTTTACCGAAAGAACCAAGAAGATGAATCCCTGCAGTCACGAAAGCTTTAAATCGAAATATAAGTTTCAAGGTTAGACCATTACATAGCCAAGGATGTACAGTATCAGTGCACACGACTGTCATTTGCACGATTCCCAAACATTAAGAATTATAATTTCATTTTTTAAACGTAATTAATATTCTTGTTTTGCTGCCTTGCCTAAGCTCGCATTTGGCCTTGACAAATTTACAGAAATGTGTGTACTTGTGCAATTTGTACATTGAATATTCTAATGACTTATTTTAAGTGCCTTTGCTTAACAGTTCTCTATCTTACTCTCGTATCCATTGCTGTATTTTTGTGTTAATGTCACTCGCTGACCCAGCCCAGACTGGACATCTTTGAAAAAGAGCTTCATAGCTCATGAGATTCTTTGTGTAAATAAAGATCCCCAATAGGCCACCCTTGAACAGGCTAAACTCGTAAGCAACGGAATGGCTCCATTGTATGAACTGGCCATGTAGAAAGCAAAACCAGCCCCCTCATACATGTCTAAATCTAATTATGGTAACAGGTACTGTGCACTGAGCGAAGTGATCACTCTTTCAGAAGCCACCTGGCCACACACGATAGCTCAACGAAGTGGCTTATCTCGTGGGAATTTACAGCAGCCGAATATTCCACACGCGTGTTCATCCTAAATGTGGAGGGAAAACCCGACGGACCCGGACAAAAGTGAATGTGACTACGAGGAGAGAGACATGCACACTCAAAATAACCCACGACCTCCTGTATATCAGGAGAGGGAGTTAACATCTTATGCCGAAACAGCGTTGAGCACGTGTCAACTATCGCTGGCATCATAGCCCTCGCTCCAAACGTACGAATCACTCAACTGTTGTATGTATGTTTTCAAAATAAACAAAAACCGTGTTTATCCCTAATTCTACTTAGTCAAACATATTGAGTACACATTTATTTAAAAAATTAGAAGCCTCAGTGTTGAATTGAATATTGTGAGCGTGTGCACTGTTGAGCGGGCGCGATGCGTTGTGATGGTGTACGCCTCTATAACGCCACTATTCCCACATAAATGCTGCATTGCTTATCACGTTGACGGCCTTTGGAGTGAACTGATGAAGAGCGCGTTTAATCGTTATTGCTATTCGTATGGTACGGTAGCTGAATAAGCATACTTGTTTTAGCATTTCTAGCATCTGTGTGTTTGCGTAGTAATACTTGTCCATCATAGGACCTCCTTTGCCAGTGTCAAAATATAAGAATAGGTTTTCCCCTTTTCTTATAACACTTGTCCATTTATAGTTACATAATTAAATGTAACCATTTATTTACGTTATCACGCAATCAATTTGAACATCTTTAAATTCAATGTCGTTCATAAGCTTTAAATAAAGTATCCATCCCCGTGTTTTAAAACGAATTATTTTTCCTGGTCTCCCTTTCCATATACAGGCACACTGTCTCAATGGCATGCGACCTCGCTTATGACTAACAGTCAATAAATACAGCGGTAGGGCAAGTGTTCAGCACACTTTGGTTCAAACC